CCCCCAAGCCACCGACTTTCTTCCCCCTTGAAAAGCCGGTGAGATCTTGATGAAATTCCTTCCTTTTCTTGTTGAATCACAAGATTTAGGACCTAGAATCTTCCCTCTCAACCCAGAAAAATCCCGGTTCTGCTCTGCTCTTCTCCCCTGCAGCCGGCAAGAGCCCCAGCTACCGCCACCCATTTCCAGCCAGGAACACCGGCCAACCTTGGGGATTTCTCCCTATTTTCTTGTTCTAGAACAGCCATTAAACCCAGAATTTCCAGATCTGTTCTGTTTTGCGTCTTCCTCCCTTTGTTGTCCGCCGGCTGCTATGTGGGTGTGAGGTTTTTGGGATTTTTCTGGTAAGATCTAGCCATGAATCCCTCTCTTTAACCTTGATTTAGGTTGGGTTTACTTTAATTGCTTTATTCCCTTCCAATTTCTGGTAAAGCCGTGAGTCCCCTGCAGAAAATTCCCGCCGGCCTCTTCCCCCCTGCAGCTTCGGTTCTTGCTGGAAAATTCTGGTAAGTTGTCGGCTTTTCCAAGCTTAAAATTACCCATTTAATTGTTGGGTTTTGTCCACTAAGTGCTGCCCTGTGCTCGTCCGAATTTTGTTGGAAAATGGGGGAATTCCGGTAGCATTTAAATGTGTTTTTGTGCTTGGTTTATGTAGAATTAGCTTAATTGGGCTGTTGTGATGTTGTGTAGGAGTAATCCCATGACTTAGCCATTGTTGGCCAAAGCCGTGGGTCTCCATTGCTTGTCCGGGAAATAGGAATGAATTTTGGTAGCTTTAAGCTATGTTTTAAGTGTGGTTTAAGTAGAAAATTAGCTTGTTATGATTGTTGTTGTGATTTTGGAGAAAAATCCCGTGAGATTAGTTATTGTTTCGCCCATTTCGGACGTTGAAGTTACTGTTCACGTGGTACTGTTCACGGGCACTGTTCACACACCGAGGGTCAACGATTAACGGGGATTTAAATGATTAGTTTGTGATATAAGAATAAATATGGAGATTGATAGAAATAGCACTGTGACTAGGGGTAGTGCTAAAGATGATTTCACTGTAAAATTGTGGTGGTATGGTTATTAATTGTGGAATATTGTGATTAGGTTTTGCTCGTTCTGTCACCGTAGCACTTGGGTTAGCCTTCTGTTCTGTGTGAGTGAGGTAAGTAAATTATGGTAAAGCCCTTCGATTTTAAAGTATGTTTTAATTGTTTTTGAGATGGTGGCAAGGTTTAAATTGATTTTAAATTGATTTTATCAGCATCTGAATGTGATTAAACTGAAATGGAAATTGTGATGGTTTTCATGAGAATTTCATTGTTTTTCTGGAGTTATTGCACCGAGCATGATTGGTTTGAAATGAAACTATTTTCATTGGTGTTGAGTACAGCATGCCTATTTGGAATTGACTGAACTGTTTTGATGAACTGAGAGTTTGTAAATTTTGAGTTTTCTGATAAATCCATGCCCACATGGAATTTTTCTGGTTATTTCTGAAATTGGGATTGATTGTGAAATCCGAGTTTTTCTGTAAACTCTGCATGGTTTTGTCTCGGATATAGTCATGATTAGAGTTTTATAAACGCTAGCACATGTCGACATGTTTACTGATATGACCGGTCCATTCTGTAACCCTACCAATGGGGTTAAACATTGGTAATTACTATTGCTTGCCAGTGGGAGTTGTAAACACTAGTACCATTACTGACGCCTGCCAGTGGGAGTTGTTAAACACTGGCACTTCTGTAACCTTGCCTATGGGGTTAAACATTGGCAACTACTGTGCCCGTCAGTGGGAGGTTTATAAACGTTGGCCATGACTTATAGATGAGACTATTGAACTGAGTTTTCTTTTGCATTGACGGTTTGTCATGAAACGTTTTGTTATTGAACTGAATCTGATTTTGCATTGACGAGTTGTCATTGAATGCTTTGCAATTAAACTGAATCTGATTTTGTCACTGAGCATTTTGGTTATATTAAACTGTCTATCTAGCGTGCTTAAAAGTTTTACCCAAGGGCTATCCATATTTACTTACTGAGATATTTTATCTCATAGTTTTCCTTGTCCACCATTTCAGGAAGCGATACCGAGGACGGGGAAACCGAGGGGAGTGACGAGTTAGAAGGGTAGCTATTTCGAGATTGGTATAGATTTAGAAATAAATCATGCTCTTGTAAGCTAGAGTGTATTTGGAGATTTTATGATATCAGAGCAGATGGTAAAATTTTATCTTGAAATTTTGTGGTATTAGATTGTGATTTGAATAAGTTTCGAGCCTTTTGCACTTGTGGGACTCGTCTAATGAGTGCACGGCGTCTGTCGCGTCCCTGGATTTGAGTTCTGGGGCGTGACAATGAAAATGAACCATTCTACATTTTGACCAGTCAAGTGCTGAATCGATCCCAGTGATGTTATAGTGATTTATTCAAATAATTCTTTTCAATAACTTCCAACAGAAAAGTTATTACATTTATCTTCTAGGAGTTTTGCAAATTCACTTCTAGCTCTGGAATTGGTTTCCATTTTATACAAGGAAAAAAAAAGACTTTCAACCTTCTCTTTTAATCTGTATCATTTTCGTCCTAATAACTTTCTTTTTCTGTAGTTTCTCATCCTGATTCTATGTCTATTTCTACATTCTCATCTCAAGCAAAATCAAAGAGGAAATAAAAAAAATTGGTGGGAAAACTTACCGTGTAATGCGTGCCCGATTTCCAGGCAAGGCAGAGGCGACGACAACGGAAGTTAGCTCCTTTGGCCGATGGTGTGATGTGGAGCCGTCATAACTACAAGAATGCGAGGGAATACAGACTGTAAATCGGAGGAAAACCAAACAGAGAAACATAAGAGAATCTACCAAGAAAGCTGCAAAATTACCATTAATGGCGTGGGGATTTCAAAACCAGGACACACGTGGGTCAGGTACCCAAGGCAGCACAAACGGCAAAAGCTAACCTCGCCAGAGAAGAAAGCAGATCGACAGGAAAAACATCAGAAAATGGGGGAAAGCGGGGAAGGCGAGGGGTATGACCTAAGCATAATCGGTAGCCGAAGTTGACGGTTATACTAAAAATGACATCGTTTCTTTCTTTAATCGTCAACATTTCTGTCGAATATAATAAAAAACAACCGACAGAAAAAAACTATCGATTATATATAATCGACAGCTAATTTCTGACGAATATGTATATATTATCGGCAAAATATCCTACCGATTATAAGTACAATCATCCCCACAACCCTCCTATCAATCCCTTTTAATAAAAATAATTTATTTTTTCTCTCAAAATAATAATTATTTTTATTTATAAATTTAACATTATTATTTTGTATTTAGTTTGGTAAATATTTTTTTATTTTAATCAAATTATTATATTTATTCATTTACATTACAATAATCATTTAATTATAAATTTTTTTAACTTATATTTATTTT